CGGCGCAGGGCGGTCCTGCGGTCCTGCCTGATTCGCTTCGGTCAATGGTGGGATTTGCCGGAAAAACAGATGGAACCCCCGAAAGTGTCGGTTTTGCTTAGAAAGCAGTGCCCAAAAAGGGTACCCTCAAAAGTCAAAACAAAAAAAACAGTGACCTCACAAACGGATCTAATCTGTGTAAATAGGAATCTCACCGATCTCGGGCTCAAACAAGCGACATGCCGTGTTGAAGTTTCCTTACTTCGGGGGATTCCTATTTCCGGCTCGGGAACTATGTTGAGTTAGGTTGACGACCTATGACCATTCCTCGATTTTGGCCCCCCCTGCTCGGGGGCGCGTGTTTGCTTCATGAACTTACCAGGCCAGCAATGAGTCAAATGGCGGCCGACGCCTGAGCCCAGTCCAAATAGAACGTCATGATGTTTGACGACTTGTTTCCAGAGGCATTCATTTCGACTCAGCCATGCATGCTTGTTTGTCTCGAATATCGAGAATATTTGATTTGGTTGATCCCTTCCTGTCATGCAACTGCTGTGCAGTTGTCAAGTCTGTTCAATTGAATGCTCCGTTGCTTTTGTGATGGCATTTTGCTTGCTACACGCCGCTATGTCGCTTTTGTCGCCTTGGGGCGGCATGTGTCTTTGTCGGAAGCAGGGACCATGACCGCAATCATTTGGTAACACTGCGGCACCAGTGCCTTGTTTGGTTAAATCCGAAGGCACCCCAAAGCAAAAGAGCAGAACGCCGTCGAATGGGCTCCCTTGTTTCTTTATTTCCAGCTCCAAAGGCAAGCCTTCACTGTTTGCAATGGCCTGAGCCACCGGGCGGATTTTTGATTCAGCAAGGGGGCTGTTCTGGGAAACCGTGCGACTCCGCGAGATGGGCGCACATGGAAGGGACGCTATGAACGATACAGACATGTGTCGGATGTGCTTCCAGCAATCCATAGGATCAACACAAGCCAACCTGATGGCCGGCAAGTTAGACTCCCCTTGCTTTCGCACACAAATTCATGGCCGCCAAGTCGGCGAATGCCTTGAGACGCAGGCCTTGAGTTTTTTTTGGCGCGAAGCTGTCTGACGCTAGCAACGCGGGTGCCTGGAGTCGCCTCCTGACCCTTTCGAAATGCTTATGTTGGAGGTAATGACTTCCCATTCGTTCAAGGGTCGGAAGCAGACTCCAAGTCTCTGCCCAGGATTCGGCCAGAAGGACCCTTGGGGCCAGTTGGATTTGGGCCAAGGTCACGAAGGAGCACAAGTTCCAGTTCAGCAACACCGAGGCTCACACCTCTGACGCAGGAATCCACCCGGGGCGTCCCTTTCTTTCTTGCTGAACAGTACCAGAGCGGTGGATTGGGTCCCACCAGCTAACGTGGAAGTGCACAGAGCCCTGTAGAAAGACTTTCCTCTTGGAAAGGGCCTTTTTGTCGTCCACGTTACATGGGTTGACTGCTTCTTGTCCGTGGAGGCAATGTGACGCAAAGGTCGCTTTCTATCTAAGAAGCCAGCTAGGGTGGGTCTATGATATATGGGTATGTGTCACAAGTTGGTTCCTAACAACAGTGTTTTTTTTGGGGTTGCCTTTACACCGACCTGAGCGAAGGTTTTTTTCTCAACAAAACGACCCACCGAAATGCTTGGCTAAGTCGGACAGGTAGACAACGGCTGGCACCGGGGCTTCCTCCTGGCTGAGAACATGACGGTGGAGCAGGTCAGCGGTCAGCGGGAGAGAATCTGGGTTTGCCTTTGTTCAGGGCACCCTCTATTCAGCTGGCTTAACGGAATCCATGCATTTTGGGGGCCAATCTCACTTCCCAGTTCGATTTTCGTGTGTAAGCCCACGTTTGGGGCAACCACAAAAAACAGTTCAGACTTCTTTTTTCCCCATCGAATTGGCTCATAAAGCGAGATAAGTAGCCCATGTTTCGAATTCTCCCAATCGAATTCGTTCAAAAAGTGAGCAATTAGCCCATTTTGCCCATTCCCGAACCCGCGCCAAGTGCCGGCCACAGCCGCCCGCCACCCGCCAACGCGCCAGGGCTGGCTGAACGAGCGCGGGGAGCTCCGGTTCCGCGCCAACCTGTGCAGCCGCAAGGCCGCCGCTTTGGCCGAAGCGAAAGGCACGCGGTTCAGCCAAAGAGGCGAACCTTCCATTTGTTGAAGTTTATGTATATATAGCTTTTCCCCTGTTGGTGTTAAAAGGAGCCTATCACTACTGGAAATATGTTGTTGTTCTTTTTTTTTTCCAGGGGACTGAAGCAAATGGAAGGAACCAATGGGAGGGTGTTTTTTGGTTGACCTCAAGGGGAAAAAACACGTGGGACATCCAACGTTTGAAGGGAAAACACCAAGTTTTAGTTGATATATTGCTGTTGATTGACTTAAGTCCCTTGGTTCCCCACACTAGGGTCACTAGGGGCGATTGGTGGAGGCTTCTATTGATGTCCCTTCTGGGCCAACAAACCACTACCCGTGTGCCCAACTCTTTGGCGCAACCCTGGGCAAAATTATCATCTAGTGGCCTCAAAGGAGGGATTGGGACATCCTGGACCCCACTCAGGAAGTGCGCATCGCTGATCCAGACCGTTCCACCTCCGACGGGCGCCAGGCAGGCGAAACACATCATTTCAGTGCCCCTGGCATTTGCTTCAGTACATCCACAGTCAAAACCTCAGCATTAGTTGAGTGGGAGACAGTACCGTTTTGCTGGTGAGCATGCCTTTGGGTGGACTTCATTGACACCAGGCATTGATTGCGACTTGATTGTCTAATTTACCCTTTTCCACGTGCATTGAGGGGCCTTCGCACACAGCAAGGCTGTTGATGCCATGACATACTGTTTGGCTTGGCAAGGTGTATTGGCATGGTGCATGTTGGGAGGTTGGTATTAGTGTTATTGGTGTCAAATTTCTTGGCTAGCATCGGTACCTTGTTGGCCCATCAACCTGACACGCACAACATTTTGGACCGGGACCGGGGCGTGAACCATCCACTCAGTGTTGTAGGAAATGCTCGGCTTGATCGCAGATCGAACCTGGTTCCTGGATCTACCTGCTACAAACAGCCTTCCTTGATCCCAGATCCAACCTGGTTCCTGGATCTACCTGCTACAAGCAGCCAGCCCCCCGTATGATACACATGTTTCTTAACAAATCATAGCAAGCCTCATCTTTGGGCCCAAGGCGGTAAACTGGCTGACAGCCGGAGGGTAGATAAACGCTTGAGCGGCCCGGATTCGAGCCATGAGCCGCCCGGATGAATGCAGAATGCAGGACGCTCAGCTAGCAGAACGACAAGGGCCATAGGCAATCATAGGCATCAATGGTTGGGGTTGTTGTAAAGGGAAACCAACGGGAGAGGAACTCGTGAAGTTCAGCCACATGTTGCAACACGGCACAACTTGCTTAACATCTCCATGAAACTGATACTCAAACAGAGTCCCTACCCAATTAGAATATCTCCTGGACCTTCCATTGATACTTGATTTGTTTGCTCGCTTTTTTTCTGCTCGAACAAACAGTTTGTGCCCGAGTCTTCGATTTCTGCCCGAGCAATGAAGAAGTGCCCGAGGTTTATATTTTCAAACGAGCACTTTTTCAAATGTGCGCTCGTTTGAGGGTTTTTGCGCTCGTTTTGCGGGCCGTTGCGGGCGTTTCTGCACTGCACACCATTTCTGCTCGAGTAGGTCATGTTAGGACCTGATACCTGACAACCCGCATGCCTCCAAAAACTGCTCGAGGTCAACAAAAGAGGACAAGCCAAGAAAACAAGGTACGAATTGCAAAATCCAGCCGATTGACAGGGGAGGCAGAAATTTCAGGTACGTTTGAAGGTCCAGGCTCCATAGAAATTGTCCTTGTTGAATGGCTTCGATCCTATTTTGGGGCCCTCGTTCTGGCAACTCGCCGCCATCTGTACCGTTCCCCTGTCAGGAACCAAACCTGCGCGTTTTGCACTGCACGCGGTCATAGCCAAATAGATTGAGGATCGGCACTTTGTTGCCTTCTCCTTCTTGTTGAGCCAACACGCATGGGGACCCTTAGAGTTCTTGGGCGCACATCGGGGAAAACTCAATGCGGGGGAAAGAGTCAACACGTTTTCTGGTCGCTAAGTCCATCCCAGTGCTTCCAGTTACCACTATAGCAGGAAAAAATGTATGGCTACCTCTAGGTTTTACATCATGGTTTTTCCTGGTTTCCTACTTTCGCGGCAGCTGGAAGCACTGGGCTTTGCCAATGCCATTGACTGCTGGTATGGTATAGACTCCTCAGCATCTTCCGCAAGGCGTCCACGCCAAGCGTGGAGTTGGGTCCGCCGTTCTATCAAATCGCCGGCAAAAGAGCTGCTTCAAATACGATTGATCGTTCACCCCCTGGAAAAACAATGATTTGTTGCTTTTTGATGGTGATATTTGTTAATCTGTTCAAACCTTTTTATTTACAGGAAATTCTACCGGAAAACAGCTTATTTAGGGAGTTTTGAAAGCATTTCCTGTAGATGTTCCGGTAAGGTAACCCTGTGATTCATGGATTGGTTGTTACAGAGTTTGGTCAAACCAAAGAGCTGCAATCAGCACATCCGATGGCACACTCAGCGAGCGGCGCCTTTGCTCAAGCTCACAAAGCGTGTCAACGGGGCAGTGGGGTACTATCAAACCAAAGTACGTAATGGTCATAGGACAACAGCCCCTTATGTTGCTGTTGAGTAGTGCTTCACTCTGCCCTCGCAAGCTGTCTAGCCCCAACACTTTCGGTGAACTGCTAAAGGAGCACGCGCAAGCGCAGGCACAAGCGGCCCCGCACAGCGCCTTAGTCTGGTGATCTGCCAATGACAAGCATGCGCTGGGTCTAAGTCTTCCGTTAGCTTCCACTCATACGTAGGCCCGCAGGACGTTCACCAAATATTCAAAAACAATCAAAATGCACTTTTAGTTTTTTTTTTCTAGAGTATTCTGTTCAAACTTTGAACGGGAAGGCAACTTTTTGGTCATCCTGCTGAGCCATGGACCGCCCATTCCTCGTGCCGCTGCGACCTCTTCCCCGCGTTCACAGCGTCGTCCGGCGGAACGCGGAGCCCTCGGCGCCGCCATCGGCGCCGCGGCGGGCGGCCGCGGCGGTGGGCGTCGCCGCGGCGGCGGCCTTTGTGGCAGAGGGAGCGCTGAGGCCCCGGGTTTTCAATAACGAGTATTTAATCCTTTGGTTTTCTAGTGTGGATTCCTGTTTAAGTCAATTCTTGATCTTTTTGCCAGATGATGATGATGGTTTTCCCATGGTAGTTGTGTATTGATTCTAGTTCTTTTTGCCAGAATGGTTTCCATTTATGGTGTCCCACTAGATTGCCGATTGGGATAAGGGATCTTGCCATTCGGCACGAGAGGCGCAGCGCGCGCTTCGCGCCCAGCGGCCCGGCGCTGTGGCCGCCCAGACTGGAGCGGCAGACGCTGCGGCGGCAGCTGGGGCCGGAGATTTGGGGCTTGGAGCAGGCGGGGAATGGCGTGAGTTGGTTTCATCCGGCGAAGATACTGTGGATGGTTACGGAATCCATGTCGCACCACCCAAGAAACCCTGGAATCATGATTCCCTGTAAATACCAACAAGCAATGGTTTCCCATTCTCAAAGCGGTGCAGGATTTCGTCCATTAGTTTGGATAGAATAGATGGGTTCCAGTGCACTGGTTTAGATTCAGATTGGGTTTGTGCTCCATGTACAAGTACAAGGGCCATCGTTTTTGTTTGTTTTTTCTTTTAAGGTCATTCATGTGGAGAGAGAAGTCGGGCTTGAAGCCTTAGGGGCCATCCACAGGGGAAGGTTCCAAGAGCCAAGCCTCGGGTTGTGGGGCCCTATAGGGTGTTACCCTGGGCTCTCAATTGCGGCACAGTGCGAGAGTTGGAGAGCAACTGAGCCACTTGCTCAAAACCAGGGTAGATGAGGTTAGTAGGGGACAATCCCAGCCATAAATAGTTGCAGCCGCCTTTGTATTTCCTTACATGGTTCTGGGTCAACCATTCTAATACCAGGTTCTGATTGAGACTCAACTGAACCTTGCTATCATGGAATCCGATATCATGATTGTTTGTTTGGTGTGAATTTGTTTTAGGGTCCTTATGGAAGGCCCTTCAGCAAGCCTTGACGAAGACACCCGTAAGCAAAACACGTGCATCGATGCTCTCTCTATGGACAAGGGAGGTTTGTTAGGCCAAAGTATGCGTGAGTGATGTCCACCCGCTTTAATGCGTGATGAATAATGCGTGCCAGAAACAAAATGCAATGTGCTTTGTATTGGGAGTAGAATTTGAAAGGCAGCTAACATCCTTCCAACATGGACAGTACAGTGGCAAACCCCAACTGCAGGTGAGCCGCATTGAACAGAACGCAAACAATCTTCCGCGCGGAGAAACATATTTGATGCATTACGCACTTGGCTTCCGACTGAACCTTGGTTGTCCAAATCGACTCGCGAGTCGACCTCTTGTCCGCTTGGATTGCAATATTCAGTGTGTGCTTACTGTGCCACAAAACACTAAGCCGTTACACTAGCCCGTTGCCGCGTAGAGAAGTGAGTATTGTGTCTGGACCAAAAGCTTGTGCAAAATTGCCCTGGAGGTGATTGCTTTCTTTACCGTGTCCGCAAACATCCGGATGACGGTGGTGAAACTGGAGGACAGCGCGCCTCGAGCAGCCAGGCAAGTCTCCAAAAGGGGACCCCTGGTCGGTGGCGTTCCAAACGCGGCCGGAACCAGAAAAGCTGTGGACGTGGTGTCCGCTTCACTATGTTGATGGCTCCCTTGCATTTGCTCAAAGTCCCTGCACCAAATTTGGGTGGGCAGAAAGATCCCATCCAGAGCAATCCACTCCCCGCTCGCCCCTTGGAACTGATTGAAAGGCTACTTCAAAGGCCCTTCAGAGATGTTTTGCCCAACCTCTGACAGAATCTTCCCCCTGAAAAGCACGCGGAACCCTGAAGCCCATCCAAGGTGTAGCTTCCTTTTTGGCAGATGCCGTTCCCAAGTTCTGTGATTGTTTTCAGGGATGTGGCTGAGGCAATAGTGCAAACCTTGCCAAGCTCTGCAAATGGATGAGTTTTAACGCATCACCCCGCCTGCAAGCAAGGTTTTCGATTTGGGGGCCTGCATGGTTTCCTTGGTTTGCGTTTGAACGTGTTTAGTGGTGGTAAATGGTGTCACTGTCTGTGATATCAAGGGAATCCTATTAAAAGTGAGAAAGCAATCGCTGGGATGGACATGGCATTTCGGTATCACGGAAAGAAGCCCGTTTTCCACAGCCATGTTGAAAAGTAAGCGGGAAAATCTAGCCTAAGTCAAAAAAGACAGCACCCCCCACATCGGCTGGGGTGTCAATACTAGGGCCCCCCCAATTTCCGGTTTCAAGGGTGAACCAACTAACGATCCTACCCAAAGGGCTGAAAATGACTTTGCGCATCGTTTTTTGTTGTGATTGCGTAGGGCCCGTTTGACTTAAGTCAACCAGGCAACTACTGTTCTTCTCAAGCAAACCATTGTTGCACCCTCTTGTCCTGCTGGTTTGAAGGGTTCAAATCGCTCGATCCGCAAATAAGCTCCCCCTTTCCACCAATATTTGCTTCCCGTAGGACGGGAAGCTGTGGGTGAATGGGCCCATCGCTGCCACCGACGAGTGTCTGGAGTTGCTGGATGAGCTGGGGGAGGTGGCGCATCTGGTAGTGCCAGGCCAGGAAAGGAAGATCTAAGGGGTTTTTGTATTACACCCTGGGAATACACCCACTGGGTATCGACCCCATTTAGGCACTTGTCCGGATGAAACCGTGTTCTTTTGAGCCATTCTGGGTCGTTTCCCAAGGGTGTACTCCCAGGTTGTAATACAAAAACCTTCAGAGAAGATCCCCACATCCCAACAAGCTATTGCCCACTACCCGTCCAAACCACCACAGGGGAAGGTGATGTGGTGTCGAACAGAAGAGGGGTTCCCCTCTTTTGGCGGGTTTAAACATTTCCTCTTGGGCCAACTTGAGTGAGTTAGCTTTTGGTGGCGCGATCTCAACTGCCTGTTGTTGCGGAAAACGTGTCTTGACAGCCAATTGGATTGCTGCGTCCCTTTGAAAGGGAACCAACAGGAGGTTGCTTCCAAAATACTTGTTTGCAGACGATGGGGTTCCAAATTCCCTTCAAAATGGAATGCCATGCGATGCATCAATCCGTTGTTTGCTTCTTCTCCTGGCTTACTGACACCAAAATGCTCGACTGGCTGGGTTTCCTCAAGACTCCAGGATGTGTGTGAATCCTTGATTGATGAGTAGGGTGGGGATCCTGCACTTCTTGTGGAAACAGGCCCCTCTGAATCAAACAGGTCGGCCAATCCGTGGTCAACATCAAGCAACTCTCCAAGAAAGGGCCTCTCCCCGCATATTCCCCCGTTGCGTTTGCAAGGGTGGAAAGGGGGGCACCCATGTTGTTCCCAGTTGGGGGTGGGATGGGCGACATGAGCAAGTGACATCCTTGGTTAGCTTGGTGAGGAGAACGGGGGGGTTGGGGGGTGGCAGCAAAATTCACAACCAGGCGGCTCAGTTGTCCTTCTGGGGCAACAGGCAATGTTGGCCGGAACTCAGATGTGCCCTGATTTGAGTTCTCAAGGGAATTGGATTCGTTGGCCAAGTAGCCCACGAGTTGTTTTCCCAGACACCAAGCACAAACGGATGGATTCTACGTCCAGACCAGTCGAATAGGCACCGCCGTCGAGCACCAGTCGGCCCTGGGTGACTTTGCGCGGCGGTACCCAAAGGCCTCGGTGTGGGCGGCTCGGTCCAGAGGATTGGCAGGTCAGTTCTGTGGGACCTTTGGGGTCTCCAAAAACTCAAGAAAATATGCTTTTGTTTTGGGCAGGCTAGAGAATCTTTGGTGCATTGTGCTTGGATGTTAGGACTTTTACTTTTGCCAACTAATGAGTTTCCCATAAAACCACTAAAAGTTAATCTTTTAGCAGGGGAGCAGAAAGCCACCGAAGAATGATATTTTCTGTGTACCCAGATGTGGGTCAAGTTCTCCTTGAATAATTGTAATTGGTACTGGTTGGTGCGGTACTTTACACTGAAAGTAGGCCATGCTCTTAGCAGCATCTTGTTGCTGCTGGTTTGCCCTGCATAACATTCTAGGGGTTGATTCCCCATTCTTGTCAACCATCATTCTTTCCAAAATCCGTCCGTTTTCCCTGGGTTTCCGGAGGTTTTCTAGAAAGGCTCGGATCCCTGGAAAGAATGGGACAGGTACCCCTAGAATCATGTGTTTTGTCTCGCCAGTGAGGTCGCCCCCGGCGTGAGCGCGCCCTGCCGGGTGGACGGGGTGCTGGGAACAAGCGAACCGCCCTGGCGAAAGCAGATCGACTTCCAGGCGTGTGCCTTCGAATCGCGGCTGGTTGGAATTCGCACGTGCCAACAAATTCGGTGTGTCTTAGAATCGCCGACCCTCCAAGTTCCCTTCTTGCCTTAAAAACCCACACAAAAATGGGGCCCTCAAGAAAAAGACACACCCAAATGGATTTGGGACCTTCTCGCATCTGTTGGGTGGGGCTAAGAGCTGTGGTAGGTCAGGCGCACATATGCTCTTTTCAGGCGAAAGTGGGTTTTCACCTTGGTCAAGTGATGTTTGGGAGGGAAATGTGATGACTTCTGTCCTCCGGAAGCTGGCGTTGGGCCATCCTTCTAGGGGTTGATTCCCCATTCTTTCCAACCATCGTTCTTTCCAAAATCTGGCCGTTTCTCCTTGGTTTCCGGAGGTTTTCTAGAAAGAAGGGAAAGTACCCCTAGAATCCTTGGCGAGTCACATTTCTGCATGCGAGGTTTGGTTTATAAGTGGCTGAGCGACCATGCCCAGATCACCTCCTTGCCCGGCTACAAAGCAACCACAAGGGAAGGCACCTTCTCGACTAGCAACACCAGTTCGGGACCTTGCCCGGTTTGAGCACACCCTGCTTTCCAGCTGAAAGGAACACAAAAGCCATGTCTAGGCCCGGCGCCAAAGGATGCGACTGAGTGTTGAGGGAACTGTCCATTTCTGTCCCAGGTTTACCCGAGTTGCATGCAATCCTGCCAGACATACCTGGAATCCTTGAAATATGTCCACCAGGCATGGCCAGGAGGTTTGGGCCGGGAAGCCAAAGAGGGATCCCGCGTGTGAAGTGAACACCCCACACGGAGCGGTTGAGATCCAAACCCAGAGGGTCCGATGGTACCTAAGGAGGTACTTAGACGACCTCTTTTTGCACCCCAAAAGTCATCAGGAGGTACTTGGACCCTCTGGGAAACAGCTTGGTTGCACATGTTTTCTCCAAAACATCGGTGATGTCCTTTTCGGAGTCCCCAAGCACCATCCCCGAATGGATCGCAGTTTTAGGGCGCCGCTTTGCGAAGCTCAAGGTTGAAAACTGATCTGCTTGTTCACGAGGTGTTCTACGTAGCGCCGCCGGAGACCGCTGGCACCTATGCTGAGACGGCCTTCTTCCACAAGAAGTCCCAGACGCTTCTGCTGACGGACGCCGTGCTGCAGGCGAAGGGAGCTGCATTTGGTGATCTCAGAGCTCAACCAAGTAACTACGTGCCACCGGGGTAGGTGTCCTGATGTGTCCCGCTGTCTCTATATCTATAGTACACACATTCCTTCGATCAGAGGAACCTGATCTTCCATGTATCAGGGTAAATATATGTGTAAAAGTAGGAGTACCAACAATTTGTGAGGTTTACTCTTGGTTTGCATTCAAGCGCCTCAAACCTCAAACGCACACACACACACAGACACACAGACACACACAGACACACACAGACACACACAGACACACACAGAGACACACAGAGACACACACAGAGACACACACACACACACACACACACACACCCAGCCGGGTTCCTTTCAGCCTTGGGCCGCAGGTGCCGGAGCAGCCGCCCGAGATCCTCAAGTCTTATGGCTACGAGGGGGCTGCGGGAAGCGTCTCGCAGGAGCAGTGGTACTACAAGCCGGGCTCCCAGCTCCTGTGCAGTGGGAAGGCTGCGACACGGATGTGAATGATGCCACTACACATTGAATGCAAGGGAGAAGACTAGCCCACCCCTTTTTCAATCAAAGAACAGCGGGGGCTCTCCTAGTTTTACCCCAATTTGGGTTTGAACCACACGGATGGATTTGGTGAAGTGCAGGGTTTTGGATGAATCGTCGCTTCAGGTTCCTGGCCTTCAACTTTCTGGAGATGAGAGGCACCGACAAGGACGGTCGCTTTAGCCAACTTTAGGTCAGGTCTCAGACCTCCAGTGCCGCGTTTTTCCCCTTTTTTTGAGAGGGATGTTCTCATCGAAATCCACTAGAAGCAAAACGGGCGTCCTTCTTCCTGCCACTGGAGGTCTGAGTTGTCGATGATGTTGACCAACAAGCTATGCGTCAAGAATTCCAGACCCCCCTGTTGGGATGGTTCTAGAGACAGTAAACGAAATGGAGGAGGCCAGGCCAAGGACAAAATGGACGGTCAAGGGACAACACCGGAGTCTGAAGCAAAATAAAGGAGACCATGGGAAGCCCAAAGGCCTAAAGGAAAGGCGGAAGGTAAACGAAGGAACCTATCGGAGATCATGTACAGTTCCCCGCAGCTGCGTTCGTCCAAGCGTGGCATATCCCATGGTGCCAAGGGGCGAACGATACGAACAAGTCGGAGATTTCACGCACCAGCCAAACAAGGGGATCCAGCATGTTGATCAGCGCACCCGCGCAGAAACATGGACAACATGATAGGCTAGGATGGATGGAGCCAGGCTTTGCAGAAGTTGAGTCCATATGATCCTGAAGATCAAGAAATAAGCGGACATGCCCCATACGGGCTCATGAAAGACTTACACGTTGATTCACCAAACTCTGAACTGTTTGTTGCGTTCCATGTTTCGCAAGTTTGTTTGTTTTTCAGTTTTTTGGTTTCATTGCAATTGCCTTTGGGCCCAGCCGGGCCGTCTTCACTGTTCCATGAAGGCCCAAGCTCTCATCGTCAGAGGGCTTCCCATGTTCTCAAGCGGGGAGCTTGCAAAGGGCCTTCTCGGGCACCAGGACGGGCCCCGCAAAAGCAACTGAAAGGGAAGCTGTTGATAACTATTTGGTCCTGCAAAAAGGTTCTTTGAAACTGGGCTTTTCGGGGTGGGGCCGCCGATCCAGTCCGGAGTGGATTGGGTGCCTGAAATTGCCCCGGCCACTGACCCCAACCCGAAGATCTCTGCGATGGTATGTTTTACTTGCATCTAAGGATCGCAAGCTGCTAGTTCAATGCTCTTGCGTGTTGACAACAGTTCGGAATATGTCGTGCTGCGAGGTTGTTTGGCTTTTCGGGGGCAATCCAGCTCCGGGAGTGGGGGGTTCTCGCGGCCAAGCTGCGATCTCCAGGAGGACTTCCAAGCTTTGGCGCGGGCCAAAGGCGTGGTGAGCCCCATCCTGCGCTTCACGCTGTACCCAATTTGACGCTGGACCAATGGGCAGAGCTTACCGATTTTGGGACTTAACACGTCAGCCATGAAGGCCCTTTACTGGGGGTGTTCCACATGTCCCGTTAAGAATTATGGTAAATTTGGCGCAGATCCAACTGGGCTCAGTCGTTCGAGGTTAGAGCTTCGCTCGAAAAAGGGGCAACAGGGACACAACATGATGCCAAGGGACTTTGCTTTTTGCATGTCCAGTTAGGGAAACTGTAAATTTGGCCCGTTGATCATTTGGGTGTGAATTTTGCTCAAGGACCATGACATTGTAAACCACAGGCAGAGGTGATCGATGGTGGGTGCCCAAGCTGTAAAGTGCCTTGACATGGCAAATTGGATGTGGACCAACCCAAAAACAGCTACCAAGAGCCACGCAAATTGAGGACAACCACAATGTTTTAGTTAGGGTACGACATTTGTACAGGTTCTTGAAGCCCTAGGTAATTGTTGTATACTTGCAATCAGCTTGTTGTTGATGTCCACCCAAGCGTCCCAAATGAGAATTCTGAAGTGATAGTCATCTCTCGATGCAAGCACTGTCCTTTGTCGTCGTCGGGTTTCCGTTTCATGATTTTTTGCCAATGGCCAATGTGCAGATTAAGTTCAGCAAGATGTGCGATAGGTTTAGCAAGAAGGCGCATGGCAATCTAAGGCGACTCGCCCAAAGCCACAGCCCTTCCAAAACCTGCCCTTAAGTGGCAACCGGAGTCTCAGGCAGTTTGTAGCCAACAAGGGCACTTCGTCTCAGGCCCCGAACTGGATTCCAAAGGATAGCAGCTGCCAGGTAAAATATCACCTTCAGCTAATTTAGCGGATCCGAATCCTTGTAAAGTGGGTGGTTTTGGGCTATTGCCTTTAAGAAACCCGTGAAAGGTGCCCTTTTTTCTTGATGGGGGTGCAACACTCCGGAGGATTTGGTTGTGGTAAATGAGAGGGTCCCAACCGACAGAATATTCCATTTGCTTTGAATGGGTGTGCTTGGGGAAACCGAAAGGACACGACCAGGCTACCAAGTACGAGCATAAGGTGGGTGTTTGTCAGTCAGTTCTTCGAACACCCATTCCTGAATGAAGGACAGGATTTAAAATACCTGCCATCCTTGCACTGCCGAGCCGATGGTGCTTCGTCCTCTGTCCCGTTTGTGGCACCCGTTTGGCATACCCGTATGAGGGAACTGTTCGCAACTGAAACACCACAAAAAGCATCACAACAATTTGGCACCAAGAAGTCGGTCCAAACAAGTCGGTCCCTTGCCTGAGGTCAGCGTCAGGCCTTGGAGTGGGTGCAGCGTGTGGCCAAGTGGCCCTTCAAAACGGCGGTGGCGGGGCACTTGGCGTCGCCTTTCCCGCTGACGCCCAAGGCACGATCCCAGGGTCCGAGTCTCTCGGATCGCCGGGGTTCCAGCTGACGATATTTTCCGGTGCGGTGTTTGGAGGTCACCGCTTACATGAATGCTCCTCACTCCCCAAATGCTCCAAGTCACACAGCTGCCAGCCTGAGGAATGTCTCGGACAGATTTACGGCCTCTCCGGGCGTCCGATGCTTTGATGCTTTGATGCCATGCCCTGATGCAAACGGATCCCGCCGGAAAGAAGAAGCACATTGGGCCCAAAAGGCTGCCAAATGCTGAGCCCCAAGAGCGCTGCAGCCCGCCAAGCTCAACATCTGATCAATTTAGGCGATCTGGTGGACTCGGAAACTGCAAGAAACGAGATGATCGTTCGGACATTTCAGGATCATTCGACACCCGATCATGGAGTTGCAAACAGAGCCTAGTGGTGAGATACAAATCAGAAGAGGAATGTTGCTTACTGATGTCCCCAAGAAACCAAATGCAGCCACAAACCAACCCAAAAGGCCTTTACATCTGTTTCAGGGTTTCCCTCATGAAATGCCAAGCAAAGCGTGTCTTTGTGGTTCTCCCATGGCCGGAGTCCGGGAGTCCGGAGGCGGCGCGATCCGTGCCAGGACTTCTCGTCCGCCTTCGGCTTCCTCTCCGGTCAGCGGAGCTCCTGGGACCCGGTGGACGCGTCGCAGCTGAGATCTCTGCGCAAAGCCGCGGAGACGTTGGACGGGCCCCAGGCGCTGCAGAGCGACATCTGGGAGCCCTACCGGTGAGTGAAATGGAAGTGGTCATTGACCAAGTTCGGCGAGGGATCCTTTTATCGGAACTGCCTCTCAAATCCAAAAAGGGGGCCCGTGCCTGAGAAAACTTGGTTGCTTGGGCTTGGTAAAATTGTCATCAAGCCTGTGGGGAGTTTGGAGAATGTGGGCTCTGTAACAAGTGACGACCTTATGGCCCATAGAAGTTGGAGGAACCTCAGGCGGAAAGCGACCGTTGAGGGCTCCTTAAAAGATTTCATGTTGTTTTTTCAGCACCAAAATAAAGGGACACCACCATTTACAAGTTGCAATGTTCAGGTGTATAATGTACAGATCCCTGTAAATGAGGGGCCATTGCCATGGCTTAAGGCCAATCGATTGCAAGCGACCTCTTCAAATCGCTTGGCAGTTGTTTCTTCCGCATGCCGCTAGTATTGACACATGCCCAAATTGTGATTGTGTGTCTGTGTATGCTTGGGTTGGTTTCAATTGGGAAACCGAAACCAACCAAAAGAAGACCTCCATTCTGAGGGTCCCCCTGATTGTAACACATCTCAAACAACTGGTAGAAGGGCTGCCTCGTTTCCGGGCGAGCAATCGTTTTCACAAGCCAGCGCGGCGAGCGGAAAACAAGAAGCCGTGGAGTTGCCAGTTTTTGAGAGCGGGCGGGGGATTGCACATGTGAGCCACTTGATCCCGTAAAAGTATGAAGCGACTGCCTATATTTGCAGAATACCAGAAAGGCCGGGCAGAAACATGTTTTTGGGTAATTGTTATGCTGAATTGAGTTCAACACGAAGTAGGAACCCGCCAAAACGAGATGGGATCGGCAACACATTCATGGCATGACATGGTCGGTTTGCCTAAACAACAGATCGGCCAAAGCAACATAATTAAGCCACACATTTGGTGACTTAAAGTTGCCTCACCAGGGGGCGAATGACCATTCCCATGATCAATGTTCATTCTTGTTGGTCATAGATAGAATGTACTTTTGATGATCAATGTTGTTGTTGGTCCCATTTTGTTGGCCATTTTATTGTTGATCAATGTTTCTTATTTGTGCAATAGTCATAAGTCATTTCAGAATGGCCGCCGAGATTTGCTCCAAGGGGACAACGATCATTGCCAACGCAGCCGCGTTCTTGTGCAACCCTCTGAGGCATGCGCTTCGCTGATCGCCAAGCCGAGAGCCCACCGAAACCACATCCGACGTGGTACCCTTCCTCCCACGAACATGGCCTTCCATGTGCTTAGGACTATATATATATATAATACTTATCTCTTGGTTTTAAAGGGAATCCATCCCTACTGGAAATATGTTTTTTTGTTTTTTTTTCCAACAGCTGAAAGCTTTGGGGTCTCAGCCCAGATAGGCTCCGGGGTGGTTCGGGGCGGCCTAAGGGAAAGGTTCCACTGGCCACGCGGTTCCACCAGGGTTCCACCAGGGTTCCGGCGAGCACTTAAAGGCTGCATCGCATGCTGTTGGGGATATCACCTGAGTTTATTTTTTTTCCAGCGGGCTTAAGCAAATGGAAGTGGCATCTACCAGATCCTGACAGGGAAATGGGTGTGGCTCAAAATTAAGCAGCGATGTGTCTTTCTTTCAACCGAGGTGACATTTCGGGGATTCCATTGTGAGCAACACCCAAATGGTTTCAGTTGGTTCAGGTTCCCTCCTTGGGGCAGTCTCACCAAAAACGTCAGTGGCAAAGATGTTAATGTTAAATCTTCCCAGTGCTTCCAGTTATCACCATAGTAGGTAACCAGGAAAACCCAAGATGTAAAACCTAGAGGTAGCCATACCTGGTGACCTACTATCACGGCAACTGGAAGCACTGCGCTTGAAAGTTGCTATCCGGCAACGGCTGCCTGGCTTTGACACGCAGCTTCAAATGTGCACAACAGGGCGACTGATTGCCAGTGCAACCGAAACGCACAATTATGCACGTTTCTCTGAAGCCCGCCCGGGTGCTACATCGCCCACAATCATGCATGTGCCCCAAAGGAAAACCGCCATAGGATGTGTAGGTGTTTAATCTTCCCCTGTTCAACACCCGGAAACGCAGATCAGTTCCCACGCTCGCAGTTGGGGACAGACTGAGTGTGCAGCAGAGTTTTGCCAAGTCTCACTTGCCAAAAGCTGTCCTTTTTCTTCCAGTAATCCACCTTTCGTCTTGTTCATGAAGGGACATTTATGTGCTCCTTGGCAATTTGTGAGTTTAGCTTTGCGGCGTCAACTCAGCGAGAGGTTTGGTGCGAGGGAAAAGGCGTGTGGAGTGTGGGTGCGGATACGGGCGTGCGCTTTTGTTGGGCACTCCAATTATTGGGCTTGCAGCTAAGGAGAAACCGCCGCAAGAAGATGTTGGACCTTTGGGGCATACCCATATCGGTCTGGCAAAGTTGGCCCGACAGCACCCAGAGTTGAACGCACGATCTTAGCTTCAGGTAAGCGCCAGGAACAGTCTGCATGGCCATAGGTGGTTCTAACTGGTTTCACGGGTTGCCGTGTTCGACGAAGATAGAGCATCACCAAAGTGGGGTGTGTCTCCTTTGGGGGGTTCCTGATAAACTGGCCTCCCTGTTTGGATATATGCTGCAGGAGGTAGAAATGAGGAGATGGTTTCCATTTCTGCCATGCCAGGATCCTCCCCCTTGAAGTGAAGAAGTCATTCAGCAAGGCCTTCCAGTTGCATCAAGTTAGTTCAGTCAGGGCCTTCCGTGTTGCGCAAACTCGCAGGCAAAGGCGCCTGAGAAGAGACGGACGTTGCCGTAGGTCGCCGCTCAAAAGGGCGGCGGAAGTGACGAAACATAGGAAGCACTCAAGTGAAAGGCTTCAACCCTGTAAAAAATGCCATACCTTGAAGCTGGCAGAAGTGAAGTCTGGAACTCCCTTCGAAGGGTTCAGGCCATCCAGTTGGCTCAGAGCCACACACACACGCACACGCAGGGGACATCCGCTACCAATGAACTGAATCAATGAACGAAAAGACCACACAACGTTACCGCAAAATGGTCTGTGTTCATCCAGATTTCCTCACTGTGAATCGGCTAGAGCCCGCGGGCGACGCTCGCTTACCATCGCCAACGTTTCGTTGCCGCGGAATTCCGCGATGCGTGAACCGCGGAAGCGAAGAAAAGGCGCGCTCCCAAAATCCTCAGGCAGGAGACGGCATTGCCTTGTCCTACGTCTTGCTGTCGACCATTCAAATGGTTTGGGGATTCCTGGCAAGATCATGCGCAAGGGAATGCAGCGCTCATGGTGTATTGCTCAGGGATTTGCAGGAACCAGAAGCGAAGAACCTTCACAACCTTCGCCTAGGTTGCGTGCTCAGAGTGCCCCTGATGGCGATGTTGCCAGCTATTTTGGAAGGTTGGCACCAGACCAGCACTCACGTGCGGAGTGGTTGTCGAATACTTCCGGACTCTTTTTGCGCCCAGGTCGTGTTCTTCATTTGGGTGTGTCCGTTTTTGAAGGGACCCCAAAAATGGCAGCGGGTTTTCCCACGAGCGGGGTACCCTAAACCTTGCGCGAACCTTGGTGGCCAGCACCATGCTGCCAACATCTTACTCAGGGAGGGGTCCAAAAGCCTGGGTCGCGATGCGGGAGCTACGGGTTTCCTACTCACTAGCTGCAGGAAGGCTCAGGCAGTCACTTCAGCGTGATGTCCCGTGTGCCCGAATAGAAAACATGGCTGCATGTGTTAAATGTACCAGAAATCAGAAATCATGAGTTATCAAGTACATGTGCGGTTTCCTCAAAAAGCACCCCCTGCAAATGTTTGTCCGATGTTCTATTGGACTTCTTTACACACGATCCACAAGGCATCCTTTCCCCGTGTTTAGACAATCCACAGATTCAATCATGTGGATCAACGTTTGGTGACATCTTACATCTTTGCCCTTCACTAGTATGATGAACATGGACTCTTTTAGTTCCTAGGTTTGGTGATTTTGTTTGTTGGGGCTTTGTCTGCCGTTTAGCCGCCATTCGTGGCGCATGTCAGCAGAAAAAATAAGTTACCGGGGATGTGGGTGGGTCTTCTCAGTGCCATTTGCAGTACCGCCTTACTTTTTGGGGGATCTCGGTTTGCTCATGTGCCTCACCTTCATGTCCCGCAGCTCTGGCTGAAGTCAGACCTTGCGCGCCATGGACAGGTGAGGCTTTCGCAGAATTGCGGCCCGCCGACGCACGGCGCATGCGGCTTGTTGCTGCTTTGACGCTATGGCGCCCGAGCCTGACTTAGCGCTTCCGTGTTTTGTTGTCAAATGGCTGTGGGTCAAAACCAATGGTACCAGTTTGGGGTAGGTGCACCACCCATGTTGGTCAATTTTAGTGGGGATTGGGATGTTCACTGGGGGTACGATTTGGATTTTGACCCATGTCCAAATGAACTTTATATTTTTCAATCCGATAAGTATGGGGGGTAAGCGAGCACTTAAGAAGTGAGATGATTTCGAGCCGGAATCAGGAGAGGCGTAGGAAGAGATGGCCTGTCATGGTCGTCAAAGGCGCTTCATAGACACGAAGAGCCAGCAGTGGCTCTGACTCTGTATATATGTATATACATCATGTTGCACGGGTGGATATTGGACGTTAGACAGTATATGCATATATATATATACATATATATATATACAGAATGAACTGTGTACTATAATACACATATATCATCTATATATGTATTTATACATTACATATATAGGGCAATTCATAGCAGCCTTACAACGGGTTGATTTGCGACCAACAAACCATGAATGCTCCTTCCTCGCGATCATGTTGTTTATGTAGGGAGCCCAAGTCATAGCTCCGCTCAAGAAGAGCCAGATGCTTTAAAGTTCGGAAGTCAAGATTGCAATTGGCATTCTCACAACAATCTATGATGTAGCAAGGCACAGCGTAAATTTGCCTTTTCAGCCTCGAAGATGACCAGAGAACCTCACACTTTTTGCAGGAGTTCTTTGGTTTGAAGACATTTGTCTTACACAGTCTCCAAAGGAATCTGACAGGAACCCTCCTAAACTTCCAGTTGCTTGCCTTACAAGGGGACTGCACTATTTTACACATGCTGGGCACGCTTTCAATTTCAAGATTGTTGCATGGATGACTCGGCCGGAAATGTGCAACAGCATGCACGTTCGATCGGGGGATCTGTTTTGCCATCTATTCTATGTCTTCCCCCCAACAATAAACTCAGCCTAGAAAGTGAAGGCAGGTCCAAGAAACAGAGCTTTCCTGTCGGAAGGACTGGCAATGTTTCTGGCACTGCCCCAAACTCGATAGCGACGTTTCCGAGGTTTCAGATACGTACAACTTTTAGTTTTTTAATGTTCTTCTATGTTCTTGCGGCACAGGTTCAACTTGACCTGCGACTGGTTCCTGCGGGGGTTGGGAACGAGTCAAATGCTGCGCCTTGCTCGACAGGCTCGTGCGGAGCCAAGAGGATGCTGCGACTGCACCTGCAGCCTTCGAACGCTTCGGCGATGGTGACGCGGCAGAATTGGGCAAGGGCGTGGATGCTCTTTAAGGTTTGGTTCCCCATTCTGTTCACCCATCCACTTCTTTTCGGAGACCACATGTTTTTGTTCGCGGGTGTTTGATGCATTTTCCGGCAAGGAAGGATCTTTGAGGCAAATGGGGAAGGTAAGGATAGATCTTTGGTCTTTGACCTTGCACCAAGAGACTTGACCTTTGACTTGACGAATTCGCCCTTCAATCACTACGGGAGCCAGCCACTGGGTTGGATTGCTTGAATGGGAAGCACCGACCACCTGGTTCCCAATTGCAGGCACCTCCATAGATAGGTATGTATGTACATTAGAGGTGTTTTTCTGAATAGGACAACAGATATACAGACACACACAACTAGTTCAAATGTCAAATCAATGAAAAAACATAATACCCATGTACCGTGGTGGAAGCGGATGCCACAAATCCGTTATGTTGCATCATGGACTATATGCGGGAGTAGGAAAAGTCATGTCCATTTTGAGGAACTGACTTTCCTGTTGGTTCGTCTTTTTTGCTGGAAATAGGACCAAGTTCATGAATTCTGCCAGGAATCTCGGGCATTCTTGGGCCCAAATGGAAAACCCCGGCGTAGGCGAGTGCATGACCAGCGCCATGCTTCCGGTGCGTGGCCGCTCCCGCCGCGACATGGAGCACGGGGAGTGCCGGGCCGCCACTCCTGCCGCAGAGATCTGTTTTTGGCGAACCTGAAAGGGGGTGTCTAAGGGTGGAACATAGCCCTTGCTCATACCAGTTCCTTGGCTTCCTGGTTTCCAAGCCCCTTGAGGGGTATATATTTCTTTCGGGGAGAGGGGTATGAACAGCAGGCCTTTTGGGTTCATTTTTCCAAGGGGTATGTAAAAGGGGTATGTACAAGAGGCCCAACACACGTCAAGCTGTTATTTTAGGGGTTTCTCGATTTTCCCCTTTGGGACCTTGGCGATCAATGGACATCATCAGCAAATTGCAACTTTTGCAGCGGAAACCAGTGCCTTGTCAACATGAAGGGCCTGAAATTGGTGGCTTTCCTGTTGTTTCCCTTCAAAACCATGCCCTTTGCGGGCATCAACAAAAAGAGGAGCCACCCATGTGCTGGCTTCCTTTAAGACAAGAGGGGGATTCTTTCATTCCCTGCTGCGAACCAGCACGCACAAGCAGGGCAACCCCCCACTTGGCCATTGGGGCCATGGTCCGGTATTTTGGCATATTAGTAAGCAAACATGCAATCTTGAAAGCAAAGGCGGACCTCCTATTCTGGATCCGATGTTTGGTAAGGTCTTATATCTTTGCCCTTGACTTCGCTGAACCCACCCACCCAGACGAACCAAATCCCCGGCTTGGGCTGCCAAAACCCTTCTGCCTTCCTCGGAGCTGACGGACCAAAATCCGGTGCGGTTTTCTCCCACTAGGTCTCCTCCCCCTATTCATGAATGACCCCCATTTATAATAGGGGCGGGGCCGTATTTATTAATAGGGGGAAGAGATTAGGGATGCATGCATCCCAACTGGTGCAATGACCACTTGCTCCAAGGGCCATGGCAAGTGGTTCTGGATGGTTCTGGCGTCCTTGGAGTGAGTGTAAGCCTATGACCTTTGTAGCAATGTCGACCCAAAGAGTCAACGTCTTCTGGTGCAGGGCTGATTCTGCTGGGGCCCCCGAACCAATTCACAAGGGTCGCTCGAGTCATAGTCGAGACTTGGGAAGAGGACAGTTGCGCCCAAGTGAACATCAGTTGGCTGCCCTCTGGTTGGACACATAGGTGCCCTTGCGAGTCTGACCTGAATGAAACCTAGATGGCCAGTTTGGATCCAAGCATGTACCCGCGAGTTCTCTATTTTGGCACAGGGAGTCTGGACCTTCTGAACAACGACTTTATACCCACTATCTAGTACCAGGGTTCACACTGTTGCCCACTGGACAGGGTTTCCTGGTGTAAAAGTACGTAGCCTCTCCAAACCGCCAATCCAAACCACCAAGAAAGGTGCGGTTGGACAGAGGGTTTCCTTCAGGTCTGCAATACAGACAACTGCATCGGCTACACCTATGCTCCCTGCGAGCGAATTTGCCCCTTGGAACTAAGACGTGCCGGCATCCCGGAGGCGCCACTTCACACGAGAAATCTGAGGTTGGCGCCGTAGTTTAAGACACATCACCTTCAAATTGTAAGCTTTACTTGTGAGTGTGGCTTGCAGCGTGCTTCTTGGAGGAAACATAGGACTTCTTGTTTGAACCCCTGATTGTCCGAGTTCATACACTAATTAACTGCAAGCTGTGCCCCTTTCAGGGCACGCTACATCCATGTGTTCTTTATAGAATTCGGATGTTGCACATGCAGCATTGTAAGCCTTTACGTAAAGTCCATGTCTACCAATCCAATCGGTGGACGCCTGTTGTTGAC